TCGGAGCTACGTTTCTGCGGCTCTCCGGCTATGGAATAGAAATTTTCTTAATATTAAATGTGATATTTGGTGTATCGTACGTATAAATGATCGATGGAATACTGTTTCTTTTCTTTTTTTTTTTTTTTTTTTTTTTTGTAAAGGAAAAAATTGTTTTATTCGATCAAAAGTTTCGATATCGCGCAAACGTTGATCTAACGTTGAGAAAAAAATGTTGGTTGAATATTAAACGAGCCACGTATCACGCGATGTTCTCGCGTAAAAGCCGCGCGCAGATAAGCTCGAACAATCGAGGCTATCACGTGGGGATGAAAAGCGCGCGATGTTATTGAAGAATCCGCGTTTCCATCCAACGGATGAAAGAACGTTTTCGTTTTTGAAAGAAGGGTCGGATATATATATATGTAACGATCGGATATAGGGAAAAACGAGCATCGATGTCGAGCAAATCCGCTTAGGTGGCGGTTTAAAGTTAGAGTTCGCGCGTGTGTGTACCTTGTTTACACTGCTGTTGTCACCTGTGTGTACGTGTGCGGAACGCGGAACCCTATTTCTTGCACGTTAGAACGCGATTTTGGTTGGTTGGAAAGGGGGAATGGTGGAATTCGTCGGTGAATCGTGGAAGCACTTAAAGTTCCCATACTTGACGACCTTGACCTCGTTCGAACCCGCAAGGATCAAGCGGTAACACAGTGACCGAGAGGGTAGGCTACAGGCCTTGAGCTTCCGTAAGCTGCACACGCGCCTCTGATTCTGCTCCACGCTCTTTAATAGTCGCCCTTTGGTAAAAATACATTCCTCTCTCTCTCCCTCTCTCTCTCTCTCCCCCTCTCTCTCTCTCTCTCTCTCTCTCTCTCTCTCTCTGATGCACGCAGTCCTGTTAACGGAGCGCAGCCACAATGTTAACAACATCGACACGCGTGTTCATCGATTTTTTTTTTATTTTCCTCCATGTTTAGACCTTTCCCGCGTTATTCGCTCGTCCCTCCTTTTCCTTTCCGCAATAACTTGGCAATATAACGTACCTATATATAAAAACAAGTGTATATTTGTCTCATACAGTACAAAAGGCGTTTTTTTTTTTTTTTTTTTTTACGAGTGGATACACACAGGACACGGGACAACAGTGTCGAACAATGGATTCTCGATACGAATTTCTTGTACTTTATGTTTCGATTTTAACGATAAATATGTATGGTTGTTGGTGTTGTTGTTAGTGTTGTTGTTAGTGTTGTTGTTGCTGTTGTTGTTGTTGTTGTTATTGTTGTCATCGTTGCGCGAAGATTCGCGATTCGAATGCGACTGACCGATCGCCACTTGTCTCGAAATACGCATCGCTTTCTTCGCACGAACGCGTTCGAGAAAAAGCTTTCGAAGCTTTATTCTCCGGATCCGTTCCGCCCTCCTCTTCGTACGAGCTTCGGTATCACCAATAGACAGACTTCTCGTTTATCCCTATCTTCTTCTTCGCCTCGCCTTTTCCGCCAACTGAATGTATTTCCTCTTGGAACTCTCCGGCAGGGCGCACCACATCTTGCCGGCTTTGCGAGCCACTTTCGTCACGCGTTCCCCGGGCGACTTGAAGTACATTTCCAGGTAGAAGATGATGAAAGGATTCGAGGACAGGATCAGCCTTCGCCTTCTTCTACGCGGTTTGCAAATGCACTTGCCCTTCCTCGAGCGACGACGGCGACGACGGCGGCGGCGGGGGCGGCATCCTCT